AAATTTGGTGGGAGCATCTCCAGTGGTTACACAAAATTTGGTGTTTACAATTATGGTTTCAATATTGTTAAGATTTGGGATTATATCTTAGAATGTCGACCTTATTAGGAGGAGTATATGAAAATCTTTCAAATTGGTCTATGTTTTTATCTTTATTCGAAGTGAGATTTTATCCCTTAACATGCTATTGAAATCCGTATGCTCAATTTTTGAATTTTAATCAAATCGAATTGCTCGTTAAAATTTAATTGACGCTGATACCATGTTAAGACTTGTAGTTCCATCTTAAAACTGACACCTTATTAAGAGTAGTAGTGCAATCATTTATAAGTTAATCTATGTTTTCATCTTTATTCGATGTGAGATTTTATTCGTTAACAAATATATCCGCTCTAAACTTTAACCTCTTTACCTTCAATAACTAGATAATTTATTTTCTAGCTTTACTAAAATTTCCACCTTTTTGTTGTTTGGAGAAAAAATTAACTAGTTACCAAATAGTTGTTCCTTAATAATTGAATGGATAAACAACTATAAATTGTCCAATTATACAGACTAATCATGTAAGAGCATCTCCAAGAACTTTTTTATTATGTTATTTTTTTTTTTTAATAAGCATATTGTAGTTGGACATAATAGAGAGCATATTCAAATTGAATTTTCACATTCTATTAACAATTTCCATGACACTTGTGTGAAACTCTTTCATTTTGAAAATCCTTCATTTTTTAATTTTGAAAATATCTACGAAGGGCTTGTTTATTAATGATCCATCGTCTACATGGAATTCTTCTTATCTAGAATTCAATAGTCGTAATCTTTTCCATCAAAAATAGGAATAAATTGAGAATTAAACTAAATGAATATAATGTTTGACATAGAGGTTGATCGACCTCTCACATTACATGTGGATCTTGACCTGAATTAAACAATACTGACCTCTTCCGTGTGTGTGTATGGTGTCATCTCTTATATCAAACATTATGTTCGTGTAGCAAACTCATAAATTGAGGAGTTGACCCCAACCAAACTTGCCATTATTTGTGCTTATGGAGAAAAGTGTATTGTTCGCTCTGTTACCTAAAATTGTCCAAATGTATATTAAAATATTCTTCAAATGATGTTTGGAGGCACAAAGTGAAAATTGGCTTCCGATAACTTCAGAATTCAACCTTCCAGATTTTGCTCTAATCAGGTACTTCTCTATTTTGGAGATATTTATGGCGTGTTTGAACCGAATTAAAATCTGATTTTAATCCAAGTCAAAATCAAACAATCAATATTAACCACATCTTTCATGGATCCTACATCTTTTCAACCACACATTTTAAAAACTTCTATTTTAATCCCCACCAAACACCCTTTTAATTTCCAAAATACTCAATTCATTTTCCTGAAGAAATCTGTGTACATTGCCATTATCTGACTGCAGCTCCGCTTTGGCAGCAGTAAAAAAGACCCTCAATCCACGACGCTCCAGAAGGCCGCTATTCTGAGCCACAATGGGGACTCGATGAATGCCTTCACCGCTCCTGTTTGCGTCTTTATTCGTGGGGAAGCCAAAGGTGCATCGCACGCTCAAGCTATATCTGCCCTTTCACATTTCCAAGATAATGCATGGTTCTGGTAGACCTTCCTTATGCATTGTAAACGTCATTACGCCCAATACCATTGCATATAAAGAAAAATCACTGATTTACTTTTAGAAAAAAGTAGAAAAACTAACGGTAAATCTCGAAAATGGTGACATGCCATTTTGCGCTGTGAAAACGATGCTTTTGATTGCCAGGTCTGCAAAATCTTGTTGAAACTTACAAAATAAAGAAATGCAATTTAAGAAGAAAAAGAAAACATCTTTAATTCCCGAGTATTGGTAATGGAAAAACTGATAGATTTCCAGGAAACTAGCTCGGGCAAGGGGAAAAAGTCGGGTTCTTTATTATTGAACAAATCCATGATTTTCATCTGATCAGTCTTTTAAACAAACTGAAACCCGTGTCAATATTATCAAACATAAGCTGTGAACTTGGCATCAAATTCCCAAATCCATTTATCTTTCATTATCGTTTATCTGAAATCCCAATTCAAAGAAGCTTTCATTTAATCTAGGCTCTTAATAGTTGAATTAAGCTGAGCTTCCAGAAAGAAAATTACCCATTTAGTTGACCTACACTCACATGTACATGGGATCTACGTGAATAAAAAATACCAAAAAATCTCCCTCACCCCCTCTATTGTAACGTGCTGTCAAGGAGGGTGACGGATAAGGATGTCAACGAGTCAAAACTCGAGCTGAGCCTTTGCTCGGCCAAAAAATTTAGGCTCTACCCGAGCTTTCGGCTGAAGCTATACGAGCCGAGCCAGCTCAATTTTTTTTTTATATTAATTCATCAGGCATCGGTCAAGCTTACAAGCAGCTGTAATTATTTATTTATTTTTATTTTTTTTAAACCTTTTTTCTTTTAAAAAAACTTGGCTCGGCTCGTCGCAAGCCAAAAATGGCCGAGCCACATAAGCTGGCTCGGGCTCAAGCCAACGATCCAAAATGGGGCTCGGCCCGAGCCTAGGCTGGTTCCACCAAGCCACGGGCTGCTCTAACCGGCGAAGCACATTGACATCCCTAATAACAGCATAACATGATTGCTTAATAGTTTCTCTCAAAAAACTTTTATTCAAAGTCATGGTAAAAGAAATGAAATGGACCTACCTTTAAAACCGTGTTACCGATTAAAATAGTAAACCTTATGTTTTCAAACCTAGGCATTCATTAATCACGATTTTGCACATCTTGCAATCAAATGCACCTTCTACAAAATGTCATGTCTAAGTCTCTATTCTTAACGTTGAATTTTAATTAACATCAGTGTTAGTGACGAAAGTGAATAGACCACCCTAACGAAACAAAAACAAAACTTCAATGATCAAATTAAAAATAAAAATAAAAATAATTAAGTTGGATGATTAACCGCGTTTTCAACCACAATGAAGTAGACTAACGTTCTAAAAAATATTTAAATTATTTATTAATATCCATTTATGCATATCAAACACACCTAAATATTAAATACTCATATGTATAGGATAAATACCACTAAGATAGTACATAAGAACAGCAAATATGAACGTGGAGATGCTCTTTGACCTTTAATTGGGTTAGATGAACTCCATTTAGATATAAAGACTGTTTTTATAAATAAACATTTCATGGACCCTTAAATAAGAA